GAGATTACATGGAATAATCATGGAGCAATTACCATGAAGATCGACAACATGTCAGCTATCAATCTGGCGAAGAATCAGATAACACATGGTTGAAGCAAACACATCGAAATGAGGTTCCATTATCTTCGTGAGCATGTAGTAGAAGGGAAGATGAACTTGGAACACTACAAAACTGAGAATCAGGTTACAGATATCATGACGAAGGGGGTGCATGTCAAAGTTTTCAGAAGACTAAAAGTCATGATGAATATAGATAGTTTAGATACAATGAATTAGGTGGTGTGTTAAGAATGTAATTCTTTGTATTGAAATATTTATATGTCGAGTTGTATTAGTGTGTCAAAGTGTCGAAGCAAGTTGATTCACATAGGATTTCGACTTAGGCCTATTTTAGTAATGTTAATTATTTTAGACTTCTATAGTTTTGCGCTTTGACTTAGGGTGCAAGCTAACCTAAATTTATAAATAGGGAGTAACTCTTATTTTGTAAACAACTCATAACATTGTATTCATAGAATTTACAGTTACAAGTGAATAAAGAAGTTTTCCACAGTTTGTGGGTAGAGAGAAACTTTGTAGAGTATTCATCTTTTTCTTCTCCAATCTTCGTAAAACCCTAACCTTCTCTTTTTCTCAATTTTTTTTCTTCTTTCTTTGAACAATTACTGTGCAGAATCTTTCTTGCAATCAATGTGTGATTGGTTCACTCAAGTGAAGAGTGAAGAACAAGAGAGAAATTCAATCAGTTGATTGAATCTTGTTCGTCAAGAAAGATTCGGAATTTTCAAAAGGTCTTGAGTTAATTCCAACACCAATAACGTCATACATATGCAGAAAAATAAACAAATCTAACATTTAACCTTTTTTTGGCCATTTATGATGGATTACTGCATACTTAGTTCACTGCCATCTGGTAATAAATCAAATAAATTCTCTGATTTTCTGTTCAGCATATAATTATACTTCTATTCTAACTCTAACTGTTACAGCTGTCAAGAGTAGAATTTTGTTTGTTTATCAAGCATTATTTTTTCTAAGTGCTTGTAGATGATTTTCTAAATGCTGGAAACCATTTGCATTGTTCAAAGATGGCTTACTTAGGTGTACTTGCTTTCCTAAAGAAGAATACACATCAAGTATTAGATTTAAGAAATCTTGCAGTACTGATACAATGTTAGTTCACATTTGTATTATTAGAGTTTTATTAATTTTTTATATAGCTTATTGAAACAAATGACAATGTTTACTTGGGTTGAAAAGATGTAACAGTGAATTGGGTCTAGGCCCAAATTTTTTTTTTGTTGAGAATTTGTATTCATTAATAATTAATTTTAAAAATAAACTTAATTAAAATAATTAATTATAATTTCATTTAAAAAATATTACATAATAAATTATTCTAATCAATATTTTCAACTCATTAAAAATATTTTTTTTCTTAATTACAGTGTCACGTCTATAAAATTGAAGGGGACCAACCAAATTTCGAATGATATAAAATTTAGTAACCAAAAAACTAAGTTTTAAAAGGAAAGAACTAAAAATTAAAAAAACTTTAAACTATAAAGGCCAAAAATGTATTTAAATTTATTTAATATTTAAAAAAACTTAATAAAAATGAGAGAATAATTAATTATTAGTTAATTATTTAAAATAATAATAAATAATAAATTATCCTACTCATCCATGCCACATCATTAAAAATTTAGTTTTAGTCCTAATCATTAATACCACATTGAAAAATTTAAGGGAATCATGAAAATCTCAAAGATAGTAAAGTTGAAGGAAAAAAAACATGGGGACAACTCTACCTACCTTAAGAAGTTGGGAAGGGGTAGTGTACCTTCAAATAAGAATTTCATTTGGGGAGGTAGCATTACCGCTAGGAAGCTCTGCATTGTTTCGTAGAAGCAAGTTTGTAAACCTTATGATAATGGTGGTTTAGGTCTGTGTTCGCTCTCGGTTATGAATGATGCTTCAAATCTTAGGCTTCTTGGAGATCTCTTTAACAGTAAGGATGATTGGGCAATTATCCTTAGGTGTCGGATTCTTCGTCCTCACGATTTTATTACACATCACATCACTTCCTTTATTTGGTCTAGTATTAAAGCCGAGATCCCATGTTTATTTCCTAACTCCAGCTGGTCTTTGGACTCAAGGAACAGATTCCAATTTTGGATTGATTCTTGGGATGGAGACCTGCTTATTAATCAAACCTTTTTTGATTTTCTGCTGATGAATCACATTAATTCGAATATTCTTATCTCAGATTTGCTGCATCAAAACCGCTGGAATTTTCCTAATGATTGAATTTCTTTGTTTCCATTTTTGCAGGAGTATGCTGATATGGAGTTGCTGCAGGCCAGAACTGAAGACAGTTTTCTTTATTGGAATTTAAATGTTAGCGGTATCCTCGATCTTAAAGAGGCGGTTTCTTTTAAAACTGTGTTGCTGCATAAGGTCATTTGGAGCAAGCAGTTACGGAACTCTCACATTCCTCCTAGCCGAGCTTTGATGGTTTGGCGATTGATCCACCGTAAACTCCCTACGGATGATTTTCTCAAAGCTAAAGAGGCATCTCCTTGGCGTCTCGATGCCCACTTTGTTGTAACGATGAGGATACCATATACTAACACTTAGTTTTTCCTTGTGATTTTGCAATTAATATCTTATCCATCGAAGACTGGATGTATTTCTTAGAGGTGACAATTAAATCCATTAAGGAAAAATCCATCAAATCCATCCATCAAAAAATCCATCAAATCCATCCACCACACAAAAAATAAGTTAATGGATTGGATTAAATCCATCCATTTATATGCATGGAGGGATTCAATCCATCCAACATATTTAAAGGATCCAATGAATTATTTTTATTTTTGTTAGATTTATTTATTTTAAAATAGATTTTTTTAAAAATAATTAAAAAATTATATTTTTTTTCGAAAAAAATGAATTTTTTTTCTAAAAAAAAAAGTTTAATTTTTTTTGAAAAAAAAATCTGTTTTTTTTCGAAAAAAATCGGTTTTTTTTTTCAGAATAAAAAACTGATTTGTTTTTTGAAAAAAAAACCGACTTTATTTTTGGAAAAAAAATCGATTTTTTTTTTCCGAAAATATCGGTTTTTTTTCAGAATAAAATACTGATTTGTTTTTAAAAAAAACTGATTTTTTTTTTCTGAAAAAAATCTATTTTTTTTTCAGAATAAAAAACTGATTTGTTTTTTCAAAAAATAAATAAAACATTTTCTCGAAAAAAATCGATATTTTTCAAAATTAAAATATCAATTTTTTTTTGAAAATACAAAAAATTCAGTTTTTTTAATAAATATATTAAAAAATAATTTTTTTTAAAATACAAAAAGTAAATTTTTCAAAAATAAAATAAAATCAATTTTTTAAAAATAAAAAAAATATATTTATTTTTACGAAATAAAAAAAAGTTTGATGGATGGATATCCATCCATTAAAAATATGTTAATGGATGGATTTTATTCTTAATGGATGGATTGGATTGGATAATTTTAAGAAAATTTTAGTGGATTGTTAAATGGACTAATGGATTGTTTTAATCCATCCATTAACAATCCATATTCATCCAATCCATCCATTTTGCCACTCCTAGTATTTCTACTCTAAGTCGGCTTCTCCCCAAGCGGAGGTTGTAGCTTTTGCGGCTGTCATAAATACTTTATTTCAAGATTGGCATGCTAGAAACAATGTGAAGCATGAGACTCACTGTTAAGTTAATGTTGTGAAGGAAAAGAATTGGATTATGCAACAGGTGCAATTCTCCGGCAAGCTAACTTCAAAAGCGAATTCAATTAACATGCAAGAATTCACTCTCATTAAAGCTTTTAAGATTTCTATCATTCCCCCTAAAGCTCCTTGCATTGAAGAAGTCATTTGGAATCCCCTTTATGGTTGGCACAGATGTAATTGTGACAGCATTTTCATCCACGATTTGAATTTGGCCGGTGGAGGAGGTCTTTTTAGAACTCACAATGATAGTTTTGTTTTGACTTTTGCGGTGCGGAGAGGTTGTACTGTGACTCTTATATTCTTGTTGAGTTTGGGGCTGTCATTAAAACTTTGGAGATTGCACACTCTCGGGGCTGATCTAAGCTTTGGATTGAAACCGACTCCGCATTGTTGTCCAAAACTTTCACCAACCACTCTTTGGTTCCTTAGATATTCAAGAGGCGTTGGAGCTACTATTTAGATCCTTATAAATTCACTAACCTTATTATTTCTCACATTTATAGAGAAGATAATACTTGTCATTATTACCACATTTTTTATTCCACTCCTTTAGAGATTATGAATGATTTTGTAAAGAATAGGTTAGACTTACCTTTTGTACGGATCTTTTATTTGAATATATTTTGCCTTTTATTCAGAAAAAATAATCAATTAATACCATATTATTTTATTATATTTAATTATTTATTTAATAGCTTAAATTTTGTAGAGTTTCAATGGGATATCTCTCCTCAAAAAGTGGGTAGATAAGAATTTAAAAAAAAACATTTTTAAAGCGAAGAGATTAAAAATTAAAAAATATCAAACTAAAAGAACTAAAGTACATTTAACCTTAATATTAATAAAAGAATGGATCTTCTAAAATTTGAAGTTTGTGCAGGAGAACTTGGTGCTCGTGTATAGGGTCTCCCGTCGGCCGTCACGATTCAGTGAGACGGACAAAGATTTATAGCAATTATGAGAGGAGAATAATTGTAATATTTTGTAAAATTATTACTGCAAACTGAAATATCAATTTTCACCATCATCTGTCCCATACTTTGTTCTAGCAAAAAGTATACAAAATCTTAAACAGGAAATTTGAATATAACTACTAATAATACAAAGATATATGAATGTTTTACACATGAATAAGCTGGTTGGTTAATAAGTACCTTATCATTATAGTAAGAACACAGGTACATACAAACCAGCTTCATAAAATTAATCAATTAAACAAAACAAGCCAAAGTTATGCTGTTAACTAGAGTATTTAATTATATTTTGTATAACCACTGTCCTTGCTTTCCTAGTCCATTGACTAGATTGATCGGCCTGCACACTCAAACTCTCGATAATCTCCGCAAAAGTTTCTATTTTCTTCTTAATCTCATCGATCGCAAGCTTTACAGCATCCTCGTTTCCAAGAGCAAAATCAGCAGTTTGCATCATGGATTCAATGTTTATTTCCAGTTGATTGATACGTACCCGAATGTTGTTCATATCTACCAATGCAATAGAAGTACCAAACTGCATTGAACTGATTACTTCTCGTTGGCCTTTTAAAGCTGTCTCGTATTTTTTAAAGAGCGAGTTGCACCATTTTCCAACGGAGCCGATTGTAACAGATAATGCCCCGGCCAAAGCCGTTACAACAGGTGGTGCGGCGATTGCCGCTGCCACTACAGAGAAAATCAACACAGCAACAAAAGCAGCTACAAAGATAACACTTGAAACCCTCTTCAGTGTCTTGAAAGATTTCAGTTTCTTATCAAGCTTTTGCTTTGTAATCAATAATTTCTTCAGCATTGATGATTGTTGAGTATAAACTTTCTGAAACAAAGAATAAAACTCTTCCGTAAAAGGGTCTTCGGTTTCCTTGAAATCCTTAAGACCTTTCAATGTCTTCAAATAAGTCGACCCTTCAACCCCATTTTGAACCTCTTCGTCAAAACAGGTTATAGCAGAGTTAACCGCAACAAGTTTTTCACGTGCCTGTTTCAAGCATTTCTCAAGAGCATTACAGAACTCCAATGTCTGGAGACTACTATCGAAAAAATCCTCCACCAAGGACAACAAGTCGCGGTCTTTCTTGTTCCATATATCTTGTTTGCACTCGAGAATGACTTTGACCACATCCTGATTCATGTCAAGAAGACTTCTGGTAACTTCACCTAGTGACTCAAGTGAGATCGAACGAACCTCAATCCCTTGAGCAAGAGAGTTGATCACCCTATTGGTGCGCTCTTGAATGGTAGCATCGAAGGATTGCAAGTTTGGATCATCAACACAAGCAGCTTCATAAGAGGTTAAATCAGCCGCGTAAAGAGAATGCGCACCCATTTTAATCGGTGTTGGGACATCAGTATTAGAACTAGCCCCCTTGCTGAACAGACCTCCCATCCCAAATTCACAGCCCCAAACAAAGAGCTAAGAAGCACAAAAAAGCTTAGTGCAATTACAAAGATTGATTTTGAAAATTGATTCCGAACAAAATTGAGTTAAAAGTAAAGTGATTTATATTCATGTAAAGTGAGTCCAATGATAACATCACAGCTAAAAATCAATTATAGAGGCAAAAACTCCAAACTCTAACTAGCTAGATTAAATTCTAGAAGCATAATCAATTCTATTCGACAACATTCAAACTTGTCAAAATCAATTCTCCATGTCTATAATCAATTTTGTCTACTCCAAAGTTTGAACCAAACATACATTAAACCAATTTCAAAATTAGAAAGCTACTTCCATTCTCGTAATGGTTTTTGTTCAATTAATCACCAGCAGGGTCAATTCTTCAAAAAAAAAAACCCAGAAAATACAAAGTTTGAAAAGTTCACAAGCTTTTGAATATAAATTAGAAAAGAATAAATAAATAACCCAAATTCAAAGTTTCAATTTTTACTATTTATAAACAAAATGGGGTAATTCTAGAAGTTTTTATTACCTGTGTTTAGGTCAGAATCTCAGAACTATGTTGAAATGTTTCCTTCAAGAAGAGAAAGGAACTGCAAAAATTGAAGTTAAGGGAAAGATGAATGAATAGAGATATATGGCTAATAATAGAAACATTGACTTGAGTGGGAAGATGAAGAAATATATATATGAACAGAAAAGAGCAGTGATTGAGGAAATTGCTCGGAAAGTGTGTTAAGAATGAAAGTAGAGAGCTTACTGATTTATGTTTTGGGTTGAGATTTGAGATGGTCCCAAACCAAACCAAGTTTAGTTTTAAAAAAACAACATTCGCAATTGAAAAGGCAAACATGTTCTTTTATGGTTGTTTATTGTTTTGTTTTCATTTTTTACTTTGTCTTGTTTCTTCAATAAAAATATCTACTTTGTCCCTCCGCAGCCATAATAATTATTTAATAAATAATCGATTTAGTTATTAAACTATTGAAATTTACTTAAAAAGTTAGTATTAGTGTATTATCTTATCTATCTATTAAGACCTTATGAATAACTAAATAGTTACTAGTATGAGAAGTAAATTACTTCTCATTGCGGACAGAAGGTCGATGGTGGTTTAGGAGTTATCAATTTAGCGAAGCTTTATTAGTAAAGTGGAAGTGGAAGATTTTGGAAAACAAGGGGTTATTATGGAAGGAGGTTTTAAAAAGAAGATATGGTTTTATCGAGCGTGGAGAAAGGAAAGGAGGAGGGTGCGACATTCTTTTGGTGGAAGGATCTCTTCAAGATAGGAGCGGTTACTATTAATAACAGTTTTTCTTTTGCAAGTACTCCTAAACATAAACTTGGAAACATGAAATCGATTCTTTTTTGGACGGTAAATTGGTTGAACGAGGCTACTTTGGTAGAAAAATTCATAATTCTCTTTGACAATTATAACACCAAAAACTGCTCGGTGTTTTCAATGGGTTCTTTTTTGAACGATGTGTGGCGGTGGGGCGATCTGGGGCTGCCTAGCAACGTCATTCAGGCGGAGACGGAGAGAGTGCAGGAAATCAGAAGCTTAATTGTAGTTGTTGCCCCGAATCCGAAGCTGACAGATTTTGTACTTTGGAAAATTGGAGATAGGCAGGATTTCAAAGTTAGAGAAACTTATAAACTTATATTGAAAGATAGTTTGCATCACTTGGTTCATTCTGAGCAGGTTAAAGCTTTCGTATTGTTATGGAATATCAAGATCTCGGCTAAAAATCAAAACTTTTGGGTGGAGAATATTTTGGAATAGAATAGCGATTGCGGATCAATTTTTGAACACTACTACAAAAATTACCTTTTGTAACGCCGTCGAATTTTATTTCACCACGACCAATAGACTGTGATTGTAAATAATCCACTTACAACCATACTCTACTTAACAACAGTTGTTCAACCGTTATTATAGATCTTTTGCAACTGTTGTTATATGAGTTTTTTGTAGTAGTGGAAACGAGGAGTTCCAAATGTAGAGAAACTTTGTGTGATGTGTAATGAGTTGGAAGAGGATATGTTACATCTATTGTTTCTTTTCTCATTGGCGGAATCAGTTTGGCATCTCGTAGGACAGTGGTGTGGCAACAAAACAGGTTTTGGTGGGTGCTGCTGGACTTTCTTTGTCAATTGGTGTGGTAATGGTATAGGAAATTATGAAATGTCAAGGTTGGGATAAATATGGTTTTCATCTACTTGGTGCATATGGAAAGCTAGAATTAGTTTAATTTTCAACTCTACACCTATTAGTTTTTCTGGTATTTGTTAGGAGATTAAATTTTTGACTTGGAAGTGATCTATTTTGAATGATATTTCTCAATCCAACTCTGATTATCTAGATTTTTGTGTGAATCCTCTTGGAGGATAGCTAGCTTGATGTTGGTGTGGAATATCATTTTCTTTTTTATTGGATCTGTTGTAAGGTTCGAATACACCTTGTATTCAGGTTCTAATTTCAATTGATTTTAAAAATAATATTTAATTATTCAAATAATAGCTTAAGATATTTTTAGTTAATTTTTGGAATAATCTCTTTCTTATGTGTAACGATTAGTACTATGATTATTATCTATATATACTTTGTTGTACTTTTTATATATAAGTAACCAAAATATACAAATTACAAATTGCACTATTCGACTTTAAGTCGAATACTTGCTTACACATTTTGACACACATGTTATATTTGACTCTGTCGAATACACCAATATGGAATACATCTTGCCTATTAAAATATTGAATTATATATGTTGGGATTTTGGCAAATCTCTGATGTGGAATTTCACCAAATCTTGGAGAATTCTCAATTAATCTTGATGAACAAGAATTAATATTTCTAATTGATTACTTCTATTGTTATTCACTCTTCACTCGAGCGAATCAACCACACCTTGGTTGAAAAATGATTCCGCTGCACAACAATTATTGAAGAAGAAAATAAAATATGAATTGGGGAAGAGAAACTGGGATTTTGGAGAAAAAAGAAAGAAGAAGAAGAAGAAGAAGAAGAAGAAGAAGAAGATTTTTGCAAAGATTTTCTCTCTACTTTCAATCTGAAACTTTATTCAACTTTTCTCTATGCAACTGTGTTATTACAATGATAGGGTACCTTCCTATTTATAAGCTGAGATTTCTTACCCACCAAGCAATCTTTAACTAACCTAACTCAGCTAAAAACACAAAATAAAGCTAAGTCAAAATTATGTCAAGATACACTTCTTCGACATTTCAACAATTTTAACATTTCAACAATTTCGACATTTTGACAGCTATACAATTTCGGCGTAGAGAATTTTGACAATACTAGACTCTGCCGAAATGGTGCTTTGACACAAAGAATTATACTTTTAACCACCTAGTTCATTGTGTATAAATTATCTACATTCATCATAGTTCTTAGTCTTTTGAAAACTTTGACCTACACATCTTTCGTAATGATGTCTGCAATCTAATTTTCAGTTTTGCAGTGTTCCAAGTTCAGCTTTTCATTTGCTACTTGCTCTCAAAGATAATGGAACCTCATTTTGATGACTTGAGATATATCAATGTTGATTACCATCATTTGAGAGTTTGAAATGTTAAACCATTGGTGATCATAAACCTTACTGTGTTGACTTTAAATAAATGTATAGATTGATTCAGTAGCTTGATCAACCATCAAGCATTGTCGATATCAAATCTAAGCAGCCACTAGTTGACTTGCATTATTGTTATACATAAGCTTTACTGTCTTTGTCGTGCCTCAAAAAATGAGAACAACCTCGCGAAACGCAATTGCACTGCCGCGGGATGGACTTAACAGAGTCGCCACCAATCTTTATTTATTCCTATAGAGGGAAAGGGAAAACATTGAATAAAACCCCTAAAAGAAAGGATAAGATATGGTCATCGCAACCAATGCCTGAGTTCAGGAGTCAGTTACGTAAGAGGAAAGTATTAGCACCCTCTCACGTTCGTTGTACTCAATGGGAACCATTTAGTTAGGATCGAATGTATGTTAGCTTAAGTTATGTTTCTAATCTTCTACTTATGGAATGAGAAAAGATAGAAAAGATAAAATGTTCTTAGATTTTTTATTAGAAAGGAAAGAGAACCTAAAGAGGTTTTTATTATTAGGATGCTCGCCAAAACATCGCAGTCTCGTGCCTACGTATCCTTACGAGGATGGAATCAGAGCAATCATAGTTTGGGTAAAATTTATTAGTTAATTTTAGCGAAAGCTAAATTGTATTAATCAACGTAAGAACTTTGTTTTACCCAAAACTGGTGAAGAGTGGGCATTTTCACCACATTGAATGGATTTACGAATCTCATTCATGCCACTTATCTCAACTCAAAGGTTGTAGGTAAAACATTGTCATAGTGTTTATTAAGACAACATATCTTTCATTTTTAAAATACTCTTTTATTTTATTAGATGTCTTCAAGTTTTGTTTAACGAAAATACGTTTGACGACAATTAAGGTTTGCTCATAACTATGAGGTGTTTTGGTCTCTTGATGATAATCAAGGTATGTCAATGAAAATGGATATTTGGGTATAGTTTGGATATATTTCAAGAATTATGAATATTTGATGATGATCAATGGTTCAAAGAGTTTGTGCTAGAGTGTTAAACTCTAACATTCTCTTTCATTCAAGATTGCTTAAAAAAATTATTTGTAAACCATGAACATTGATAGTGATCAATGATTTAAATAGTTATGCTAGAATGCTAGATTCTAACTTCTCTTGGTCCAAGTTATTTATTAAGTTTTTTAAGGATGAAAGAAAGAAATAATTGACTACCTCAATGTGCAAGACTTGAGACCAATCTTTCTAGGATTTTGCTAGAATGCTAAATTCTAACAATCCTTTTCTTTCAAGTTTATTTTAAAAGAGTACGAATGCATTTTGAAGTATTTTAGCAATCCTTAAAGAAGGAAGGAAGTTTTGAGATGACACTTGAAAAAGGGCCAAAGTTT